AAAGATGTTAAACTTACGTGTGAGAGAATATTGCATGTTTGTGCTGGCCCTTCACACTAGAGATAGAAATGTATTCATTCTTGCCTTGGGGCCAGTGGCATAAGTACGCCTGTACACTTTCCAGAGTGCTTACATTTGTTCTTCAAGCAGCTTAAGTTTCACAGAAAACTTCTCCAAACACCCATTTGGCCATTTAAAACTGTTATTATTCTAATCAGGAAAATCAAAGAGAAGTAGGATTTTACTTTTGCTCCTGATCACCCGCAGAGTCTTGAGAATGTGCTAGGTTGACCATGTATGTGTGCGTGTGTGTGGTTTCTTTTTTAAATTATTATTATTATTTTGGTTTCAAAAACAAAAAGGCAAAGTGCTTAAACAATCCTATTCAACTGAGAGCAAAGCTAGACTGAGAACTCTGTATATATATCTGTATGCTTTGTTGGACCTTTTGTCTTTATAAAAATAAATCAGTACAAGCCAGAACGTTTTGTAGGTTCAGCCAAGCCAGAATCAAATAAGAGATCTTGCTTGGCTCTGTGGATGCATGAATAAGCCAAGCTATAAAACCAGACTCCATACCCTCATGGAATTTAAAAAAAGAAAGAAAGAAAGAAAAATCTGTGACAAAGTTTCACTTGCTTTAGCACTTTCCCAGGCTGTTTACATGCTCAGGTTGATCTGGGCCTCAACTCCCTGAATGTTCAACACAGGGGGTTTTGCAGCTTTTTCTAAGTATGAAAGCAGATCCCCACTGATTCTGGTTAAGAAGGAACAGAATCAGTTCCGCTAAAAGGAGCACTTGATAGCATTATGAGATTTGCAGACAACAGGAAGTACCTTTTCAGACTTCCTGTTCACTGCACTTTTCTGGGTAGTTCAAATTAGAATACTTCAGTTTCTCCTCCTACTGCATTCTGGGCCAACCACATAAATAAATAAGCAAGATATTTACCTATAATCAGGGGTGGGATTCAACTTTTTAACAACCGGTTCTGTGGGCATGGCTTAGGTGGTGAGCGTGTCTTGGTGGTCATGTGACTGGGTGGACATGGCTTGGTGGTCATGTTATTGGCTGGGTGTGGCCAACTCAATATCACTCACATTGGGGCACGCATCTCCTCGCCTGGCTCTCATGACTGTGGGGATGCTGCAACAGTCATAAGTGTGAAAAACGGTCATAAGTCACTTTTTTCAATGGTCACTCCACACAAGCAAAAGTACCAGCAAAGGAGGGGAAAACAACTCAAGAGAAGTTCCAGAGACAGGAAGTCTAGTCCTGCCAAGAATGTAATAAGAGTTAATGGAGAGGCAGTTTCTATAAGCAACACCAGAATGTTTCCTTCCAGCCTTCCTTACAGAATTAGGCCAGTAATATCTTCTTAGAACCGGTTCTCCGAACTGCTTAGAATGTTAACAACCGGTTCTAGTGAATAGGTGCGAACTGGTAGAATCCCACCCCTGCCTATAATTTCAATGAGCTTCTTGAATAAATTATAAAGATTTTTTTTGTGTGTATGTGGTACTGTCTTTCTGGTTTAGTCGCATTGTTTTTTTCCCCAAAAACTATCTAGATACGTCATAATTACAATGACAGAGACTATCTTTCCTGACAGGAGAAAAAAAAAAACATTTCATCATTCCTCATACCCTACCCATCACAAAGCCTAAGTGATTACTGCTGAAGACTTAAAGGCCAAAAGGTCTTATGTCAAAGATCCAGGATTGCATTTCTTTCATTAAACATAGCAGAACCAAGAAGAATGTTTCCCGAATCCTCAGGAACATTTATTGTTACTCAGTTAATTCAGTGGTTACAATAACTTGACTCAATATGAAGCAGGTTCATATGTTCAGCAGTAGCATTATATCCTTCAAATGAAGAGGTAATCCAAGAGTGGGCTTAAAAAAATTAGCAACCAGTTCTCTGCCTAGTTGCTGGGTGGGTGTGGCCATTGTGGGCATGGCCTAGTCAGCCTCCTGCACTACCCTGGTCTGGGAGCAAAAACAGGCTGTGGGTGGGGCATTTTTACCCTGCCAAGAGTCTGTAGGTTTTCTCGAGCCTCCGGGAGGGCGCAAATGACTTCCCCGGGCTCCGGAGGCCCTCTGGAAACTAGAAACTGGCCCGTTTCCAGCCTTCTGGAACTTCCAGAAGGCCCATTTTTTGCCCACCCTGAACCTCTGCACTTACCTTCAATCCAGAATGGGTCATGTGGGGACACCTGGGAGGGGTAGGGTGGGCGGGGCCAGCCAGTGTGTGATTTGCCAGTTCAACGAACTGGCCATAAAATTAACAACCGGTTTTCCCGAACCAGTGCGAACCGATAGCAGCCCGCCCCTGAGGTAATCTCTGCATAGGTGGCAAAGGAAAGAAATTCAGATAAAACTGGAAGGAGACTCTGCCATCTGCTCTGTGTATGCCATGGACAAATACAAAGTGATATCAGGCAGGCTATAAACCCTGTTAGAAACTCTTTTGCTAGTAGCCAATACAGGATCACTTTAATATAAGCCCCCCAAAAAGGAAGTCAGAATAATAAATGGAATTGAATGGAGAAGCAAGAGATTATTTTTAATGTGCTAAGTGGCTTAAAGTGATTTATGGCTAACTTGCCAGAAGCAATTTTCAACCATGTCAATTTTGCAAGATCTGAACTTATCAATGAAGGAGTCAATAGTTTTTATTTTAGGATTGAATATTTAATTAAATTCAATGGGATATCCTTTTAAGTAGACATGAAAGTGATTCTATGCTTTGAAAATATTAGCAGTCAAATATTGTATTCACTGATAGTCTCTATTAAAATAGTACAATGAAGGATGGATTAAACTTTGACCAAATAAAATGGTTAAGTACTTCTGTAAGTTAATATTCAAGGCTACTGTAAATTAGATTATCTTGTTCTCCCTGGTTTCTTTTAAACAATCCACCAAAATATTTGGGCAGTCCTTATTAATATTAGCACAAATTAAAGAAGTTAAGTTGTATCCAGAAGTACTCCTCCTGATAGATTAAGGAAAGGAATTTTAAGTTAATTTTTTTTTAAAATGAAGAGTTACTGATGCTGTGGATTGTAAAACTCTCTGCTTGTATTAGACTGAAGTAACACAAATATACATAGTGTTTTTCTGGCTCATACTGCGTTATTGGCTGATTTAGGTCCTTTTGGAAAGCAAAGCTAACAAAGAATGCTTAAGTAAACAAACACTTTAATCAAGCAATTTTTGTGATTCTTCCCTCCCCTTTTTTTCAAAAAAAAATCCATTTTCAAAGGAAAATAAAAGTTGGCTTGGTCTATATATGTCTTTCTTCATCCTTACAAAGTCAGAAGAAATACTTCATCCTTGCAAAGTCAGAAGAAAAACAGGCAACATTTTTTGAGAGTAGCCGCAAACCATTTCTTGTGCTGTAACTAGAGTGTTGTTCTCTTGCTATTCACTTCTACTTGTTTCTCAGTGATAAATAGGTCACAACCCGTTGCCTGTTTTCTTACAGGAACCCGACAAATTCTGTGCAATTTTCTTCTCAGTAGGAATGCTTAAAATTATACTATTACATGTGAAGGTCTAGTGGAAGTGCCATGAAAACTTTGATGATTCTGTGTCAATTTAAACAGGGGTAAACAGATAACAGATAATCAGAGTTGGAAGGGACCTTGTAGGTCATCTAGTCCAACCCCCCGCCCAAGCGGGAGACCCTACAACATTTCTGACAGATGGCAGTCCAATCTCTTCTTGAAAGTCTCAAGTGATGGCGCTCCCACAACTTCCGAGGGCAAGCTGTTCCTTTGGTTGATTGTTCTCACTGTCAGAAAGTTTCTCCTTATTTCCAGGTTAAATCTCTCCTTGTTCAGTTTCCATCCATTATTGGCCTTCGGGTGCTTTAGAAAATAGTTTGACCCCTTCCTCTCTGCGGCAGCCCCTCAAATATTGAAAGACTGATATCATGTCTCCCCTGGTCCTTCTCTTCACTAGACTAGCCAGGCCCAGTTCCTGTAACCGTTCTTCATATGTTTTGGTCTCCAGTCCCCTAATCATCCTGGTTGTTCTTCTCTGCACTTTTTCTAGAGTCTCAACATCTTTTTTATGACAGGACACAGTACTCTCGGTGTGGTCTTACTAAGGCTTTATAGAGTAGTATTAGTAACTCCATTGATCTTGATTGTATCCCTCTGTTAATACAACTTAGGATATCATTAGCTTTTTTGGCTGCTGTTGCACACTGCTGGCTCATATTTAGCTGGTTGTCCATTAAGACTCCAAGATCCCTCTCACAGTTACTGCTATTGAGCCTGGTTTCACCCAGTCTATATGTGTACTTTTGGTTTTTCTTGCCTAAGTGTAGGACTTTACTTTTCTCTACATTGAATTTCATTTTGTTAGTTATGGCCCAGTGTTCTAGTCTGTCAAGATCCACCTGGATCTTGAGCCTATCTTCTTGGGTGTTAGCTATTCCTGCCAGCTTAGTATTATGTGCAAATTTGGTAAGTTCCCCTTCTATTCCCTCATCTAAATCGTTCATGAAGATATTGAAAAGTACTGGGCCTAAGACGGAACCTTGTGGCACCCCACTGCTTACTTCCCTCCATGTAGACTTAGACCCATTAAGGACTACTCATTGAGTATGGTTTGTCAGCCAGTTGTGAGTCCATCTAGTGGTGGTGCTATCTATTCCACTTTTTTCTAGCTTACCAAAAAGTAGGTTGTGGTCTACTTTGTCGATTGCCTTGCAGCCCCCAATAAAATTGAGTTTGACACCCCTATTTTAGATAAAAATTGTTGCCACTGGTGAACAGGTTTTCCAGAGTTTTTTTTAATTGTTTCTTTCTCTGCACACTGGCTTATTAACCAGTTGCTAGAAGGACAGACACTGGTGTCTTGGAATCAATGCCTTTTTCAATGTTCAATTTTCTTAAAGTTATTGTTGCTTCCAGCTCGTATCAGAGAACATTATATTGAATAGACTTAGGTAGACTTTTGACTTTTTTCCTGTTTGTTTTTAGGATTGCCCTCCAGAAGCAGGTGATTTTCGTACCCAGCAGTGTTCAGCACACAACGATGTCAAGTATCAGGGACAGTTTTATGAATGGCTTCCTGTCCCTAATGATCCTGACAACCCGTGTTCATTGAGGTGCCAGGCAAAGGGGACCAACCTTATTGTGGAACTGGCACCTAAAGTCCTGGATGGAACCCGATGTTACACAGAGTCACTAGACATGTGCATTAGCGGCTTGTGCCAGGTAAGGAATGCATTGTTTCGTTTTCTCCTTCTTTCAGCTTACACTGTAGTCCCTGTTTAGTGACTTCCTCATTTAACGACTGCGAGTTACAACTGCGATGAAAAAGTAATTTTTCGCCAATCCTCACATTTATGACCTTTGCTTTATAAAGTAAAGAAAAGCTGATCATAAACAAGTGTGGTTCACTTAGCAGTTGCTTCATTTAACAACTGAAGTGCTGGTCACAATTGTCACTAAATGAGGACTACCTGGATAAACTGGTTATCTATGTTTTACCCAATCCTGCCCTCCCAATTGTGTGCCATTCATTTTTCTTGTCTTTAAGTATTCATGCCACTTCCAGAATTGGTTATATTTTTATTTCTATCATGGATTTGACGACAAGCTTCTTCTTTTTTTTTTTTCAATTTAATTGATAACTTTCAAATTTCTTTATCCTTTATTAGGTTACTTATATTTCCGTTTTTCCCCCCGGCTGTAATGTATTGTTTATGTAGCTCCACTGAGATGGCAGTCATGCCCCTGATATTTGTGCCTTGATCCCTGGGACCATTATTTATGACTTGGCCTTCTCATGACACTACCTTCATCTCATCCCCAGCCTAAGGCAGCCCAAAGTGATATTAACCGATCCCAATGTTAAGGTAGCCTTGTTCCTTTTCTCCAAGCACAAGTGTTGCTACTGAAAGAATGATAAACCTTTTTTTAAAGTTGACTCTCTTTCAAAAAAATGCTAGTATCGTGCTGCAGGGAATCTCAGTTGAATCATATTCTGCCGCTGCTTCTGTGGGAGGAGAGTGGGAGGAGCCTAATTTTGCCCCACCTCGTGCCATTTTTCCTACTTGCTGCTATTTCCTTGACATTAGTTGAACAACCGAACAATCTCTCCGTTCCATCTTTCCCTCATCTCTGGGACCTTTCTGTGGACTATTGTGGGACACTGCACTTCTTCAGAAATAACCTAACTAATAGTCCTCACATGTGATCTGCTTTTTGGGCAGTTTGTCAGGTGAATACAATATAGCCATGATGGCGAACCTGTGGCACGCATGTCACAGGTGGCACGCAGAGCCATTTGTGCAGGCATGCGAACCCCAGGCAAACTTACCTCACTGCACATGCGCACTCTTCCCAGCTGATTTTCGGGCCTTTTTTGACTTCCCAGAGGCTTGAGGGAAACCTCTGCAGGCTTTGCAGGATGAAAAATAGGCCTGTTTCATCACTTCTTGTATTTCCGGAAATACCGGAAGCGACTAAACGGGCCCCTTTTTCGCCCTGCAAAGGATGCAGAGGCTTCCCTCAAGCCTCTGGGAAGCTGAAAAAGGCCTGAAAATCAGCTGGGAGACATACTGCAGGTAAGGTGGTGGCAGGGGGAGGGATCGTGTGCGCATGCGCAGGGGTTGTGGGGGACTGCACACATGGCCTTCTGGGTGCTGGCATGTGAGCGCACGCCTGCGAGCGCACACACAATTTTTGGCCAGGAGACCAAAAAGGTTAGCCGCTACTGCAGTGTAGCCTTTCTAAGCGCTTGCCTAAATTCATCTATCTTCTCTCACGAAACAGTAAGAGCAGTGACTGGTTTATTTGCTTCTAACTCCAGTAAGCCAGGGATGTCAAACTCACGGCCCACAGGCCGGATGCATCACCCGCTGGTCACGCCCATCTCCATTTTAGCCAAGGAGGGAAAAGTTGCGATATGTCATGACGACAACGTGATGACGTGATTTTGACACCCCTGCAGTAGGTGATGTCAGCAGGAGGATAAATAAAGTCAGTTTCTTTATTAATTTGTCCAGTATCAGACCAACAACTGCCTTACTTCTTTTGGCGAAATAGGAATCAGTAGTATATGCTATAATACTTTTCTCCCAATTCGTGAAGAATAACACTTAAAGACAGTTAATCTTTGGGGAAAAGTGACAAGAGCCTCCATAAATCCAGAATGTTTTTAAAAACTGGAGTTTTACCCACCCTCTTCCTCATTAGTACAGTATTTGGAATAAATGCATTATGGAAATGTCTACAGCTTTAGGAAGGCCCTGTTACTTTTACAACGTGACCCATATAATTAGAGTCTCAAATAGATCTGATATCATCAGTGAATGTGTTCCTCGGAATTTATAGAACCCACTTCCAGATGGCAGATAAAACTTATTTATTTGTGTAGTAATTTCCTAAAAATCGGGACAGAAACATTTGGTGACATGAGAGAAGCAAGCATACTTTTACGCTAGGTGAAGAGATGAAATACCTTTTTCATTGTTTTGGAGAAAGTTTACCATAACAAAGTTTATAGGGAAGCTCTAGTTTTATAGATAATAGAGCTCTGCACATTTCGATAATGAAATGACCTGATCTTTTCCATGTCAAGTTGTAAAAAAATAATGCAATATTAAATGTTATAACTTTTTAAACTCACTTGGAAGCTGAAAAAGTGAAGCCTTCTTAATAAGCAGATGAGAGGTGTTAACCTTTGCAAACAAATTAGACCAAACTTTCAACATTATTTTTAAAACATGCACAGTCCTAACTTCGGCATCCAATATTGGAGAATGGCATCCATCCCCCAATAATCCTTACTTTTATAATTTCAGTGCAGGAAATCTAGAAGAATGCTGGTATCCCCATTAGTACATTAGGGCAAAATTGTAGATTATACTGATTCATGCGCCACAAACTGGAACAAAAACTCTGATCTAGAATTCACAGCCTTCTTTTCTTTCCTCCAAGGAAAATTAGTGATGATGGGTTAAAAGATGGGAAGTTAATGGATCAAGGGAGGAACCATAAAAAGTCCAATAACATGCGCGCACACACATTCATTCATTCATTGCACACACACATACACACACAAACATTTGTTTATTCATTCATTGTGTTTTAATCGACTGTTTATTTAAATAGAACAACTGGAAAAATTATTCTTGCAATTGCTTTCTCAAAAAGATGCCACATCATGATAGTGGAGTGCTTTCTGGAATCAAGAGTGAAATAATATGACAGTGTAGAATAATTCCCTGAAGGTATTGAGAAATGTAAACTCCAGTGCCCATTGATAACTAAGTTAAAGAAAGAAGAAGGATTGTTTATGATGGGCTATCATCATTGTGTTTATAAACCCCAGTATCTATTGTATTTATTTTATAAATAACAACTTTTATCCAAATGCATTGTATTCACTTATATTTGTAATAATACACTGCAATTATTTTATATAATGTCTAGTTCCAAACTTTAGGCTGAATATGAATTTACCCTAGCTTTTAAAAAGCAGCTTAAGAAGCAGATTTGTTGAGGTTTTCTGAAGCAACAGATCCAGATTTCATGGTTTTGCTCATCCGTAACCCTGCTTAATACTTGACATTTTAATACCCTTTGAACTGAATCTCATCTCTATTTCTTTGGGTTCTTTTTCCCCCCTAGTTTATTTCTTTTAATGATCTTCTGACCTAAAGAATATCTTGATTGTTAAGGAAGATGTTTAGGCTTCATTGAATGTGATCCATAATGGACAGCTCCATCTATCTTAGCTAATAATGAATTGGAACAGGGACTTCTCTCTTTGATTTCACACAATGGCCTCTGGGTAAAACATGATAGTTGTGACCCTTGTGAGCTGTTTTGCAATTGATTAATAAGACATTTAAGAGGACTGTATTTTTAATTTGTCCTTCCCACTTAGCCAAAATGCTTTGGCTTAGCACAAGATGTACATCTGGACCATTATCTAATTAGCTGAGGAACTGTTAGCCCAACCATAAAGGCTGGACAGTCTTTATAATCCAATTGCAGGACACACCTTTCTGACTAAATAACTCCCTAGAAACATGCTAATAAATAATAACCTTCGTGATAGCATATGTTTTTGTATTCATGTCCTTGGGAATTGGGAGGAATGGGAGAAACCATATTCCACTGCTTTGATCTGATGTCACTAATGTGATGACCCCAAATGATTGAAATGTGCATTTGATATGTCTTTTGTGTTGTGATGTGATATACAGAATTATAGAATGGAGTTTACATCATGAAGCACATTACATAATTACACACATACACACACACCATGGGTGCTTATGTCACTTTAACGCAAACTTAAAATGCTGGCTTTAGTGGGAACTGTGTACTTTCCACCTATTGTCATATATACCAACAGTCCCCAACCTTTCTGGCAGTAGTGGAATCCTATCTTGGTTGCTATCGGTTCAGTGGGTGATTGTGTGTGATTTTTACTACCGGGCCAAACCGGTAGCATACCACCACTGCTTTCTGGCTTTGTGAACTGGCGATGGCAGCAGTGGCAGGGGCAGGGGGGATGATCTCATGCAAGCAGCAGGGGTGTGCTTGCACATGCAGCTCCATTTGCACAAGCATCCAGCATGTGCTCTTGCCACTTGCATAAATGGAGCTTCGCACGCAAGCACATGTCTGCCATTCACACAAGTGGAGCTGCGCGTGCGAGCAATGCTCACCCACTGCTGGTGCGGCCTGGTTCCAAATGGCCACAGCCCAGGGCTTTGGGGTGGGGACCCCTGAAATATACCATTAAGTCTAATTATATACAGAGAAAGATGCATCTCTCATTTAGTATGTCCAATACTGGGCTCAGGTTTGTGGGAGCAATGGTAGAATAATTAGAGTCTGAAAGGAAGATGAAGTTAGGTTTTGGTTGCTTGTGTCAGCTTCGAGAATCAAAGCCAGCAGTTTCTTTTCTTTTTTTTAACAAGGATTGTGATCCTGGTATAAACTAACTGCAAGAGTTAATGCCAGGTTCATGGCAAAGCTGGTTTGTTTAAGATGGCCGGATACTAAGCAAGGATTTGCTTACTTTCAGGAGCTGTCGGTGTATTGAAGCAACAACAAAGCCAATTTTTTAAAAAAACTAATCTAGCCCCAATTTTAGTTCAGGTTCTGATGAACTGATCCAGAGCCAAAAAGGGTTTAAATAACAAACTTTCGTGAGAACACCTTAGATCTGGGAATTGTGCAAAGATATGTGG